ACCTGCCTGTCTACCTGCCTGCCTACCTGCCTGTCTACCTGCCTGTCCTGGTATTCTGCCCGTGCTCTCATTGCTCATCACTGAAGCTGTGAGAACTAACTCTAGCCATGTTCGTTCTTTACCTTCATAATGATCATTTTGGGGGAGTGGCTTTGGAGGGAGGTTTGAAGTTGACAACTTTCTTGCTAGCTTTAGCAACATTTGGAGCCAGTGCTGCTAGGTACTTTCATTGAAAATAAGTCAGCAACAATGGACTCGTTTTTTTTGGGTTGGTGATGACTTTTTAAATCTAGCGTACTCTTGTTAGTTACTCAAGATTACCTACCCCGCCTTTAACAATGATTATAAGTATGGATTGGGACAGCAGCACTCCAAAAACACCTCAAACCTCACTGCTGGAGCCTCGGTTAACCAAAAACAGAGTGGCATCCTTAATGAAAACAATCATGTCCGGCGCCAGTTAACATGTTTTGAGTAAGCGGCCCCTTGTTAAAGGGCTTTCTGAGCGTATCATCTATTTCCTTATTAAGAGCCTTCACGGGCACAGCAGAATATTACCCCTCGCAAGTTGCACAGCGATGACACCCGGAGCGCGTATGTGTCAGCTCTCCCGGGACTGGACCACTCTCCCTCCGCACAGATTGGAGGTGAGACCTTGGAGGAAAAATGATTACTTTTATGTTTGCTTTATGGCTCATTTTTCACATTAAACCGCAGAAAATCCATGCGGAGGTCACAGAATTCCCGCTTCCCCCCGTCGGCCGGAACTCATTTTTGCAGCCCTCGGTATCGATAAAGCATTCAGCGGAGCAAAGTATGCACGGCTATGTACTGCAGCTCTCAAGTCTCTTATCTTTTTTTTCTTTTTTCCCATGCAGCCAGTCTATTGGGACTTGTTCAGCCTGTATCTGCTGGGATTTTTGTGGAAATGTCAACTACACACACACACACACACACAGTCAGGGTGGCCTTATCTGTGAGCGGCATAGCCAACACGACTCGCGATAAGAGATGGCATTGCCAGAGTGAGTCATAAAACTCGTCTTTTTATGGCGCGGTTATTGTCTTTCTGTCTACAATTATGGTGATTACTCATTTCTCCCCCCCCCCCCCACGGCCCTCACGGTGCACTTAATAGACTGCATTTTACTAATGGAAAATTAAGTAGCCGTCGTGGCAGCGGGGGTTTATAAATATGTAAAATATACTTTTAATTATTTCAAGTGAATCTGGCAGCTAATCAATAAAGAGGGACGTGACAAACATACGTTTGACGCGGGCCATTGTAAAGCCACCGGTAACAGATAAGCACGGCCTGTCAGCGCGGTCCGGCCCTAATGAATATTTTGAGGCTGTCATGTCAGGAGACAAATGGATTAATTGCGCCCGGCTAATATAATAGCTTCTTCATGAAGAGTGCCGCAGAGGAGAGGAGAGCGCGGCCGCCGCTGCCCGGCTCTGTACCCCGGCTCTGTACCCCGGTGTCGAATAAATATTTATCAGGGTGGAGGTGGGGTTACGTAGATTTTTCGCGATTACACGGAGAGTCACTTAAGCGTCTTCGTTTGTCATTTTATTTGAGAATTGATTTGGGCCGATTAGTTTGGTGTCATATTAATTTAGTATTTTTGTTGGGGGCCTGCAGTGGGATTCGGCTTCCTCCACATGAGAGACTGTTGAAGAGGAGGGTTTCATCGTTCACTTCTAAAGGTCTCTATTGTTGTTTTTCCTGCAGATAACAGCTGTTGAAGCTTTCATTAATCAGGGTTGAGGACAGATTTTTGCGTAACTGATGATTATTTTATTATAATGTTTTTTTTTTCGTATTAATTGATAATTATGTTTTGAGGAAAAAGTCAGAAAATGAAGCCTGTCCTAATTTCCCAGAGGTCAAGGTGAAATCTCTTGCTTTGTCTTCGTTCAAAATATTCAATCTGTAATATTTAACAAATATTTCCATTAATCAGTTATGATTTTTTTTGTCAATTAATTTTCTATCCATCAACAATTAATCAGTTTATTGTGTCGGCAGCAGTACTTTGAATCCTTTTGATTTCCAATAGACTGATGAAACATTTCCTCTTTTTATCTCCATAATTCCCCGTGTGTCATATTTCAAAACAGTCATTTTCACTTGACTGCCCTCTGAAATATTTACACAAACAGCAGCACCAAGCAAGGGTGGCACCGTTTTGACAAATAGCCCCCCCCACCCACCCCACCTCCACTCCCATGCTGCCCGCTCTCCTATCCATCTCTGTCTCCAGGTCTGTTGTCGGCACTTTAAGGTGAAAGAGAACATAAAGACAAGCGAGCGCGGCGGGTAAGTGTAGGGGGGAGGGGGGGGTGGGCTTCCTGGAAGCCGTCCTCTCGCGATGGGAGGCTTGTGACCTTGAGTCCATGCCTCTCGCCCAACGCCGTCCCCACCGCCTCCCTCCGTCAGAGCAGGAGAAGGTGGGGGGGGGAGGGTCACCAGCCGCTGTTCTCATCAATTAAATGTGCGACAGTGTTCCCCCCCCCCCCGTCGGCTGGACTTATATGTGAAGGAGATGGGCAGGACCTCATGTTTGTGCTTTTGACAAATCAGCAAATGTTTAATCTCAAGATGTGCCGGCACTCATAAATAATGCAGGGGCGGGGGGGTGGACCGACGAAGAGAGGCGTCTGGCCTCAATAGAGGAAAATGCAGGAAAAACCCTTCAGACTAAATCCTCCTTGGTGCCCAGAAGAAGCTTTTCTTCTTTGAGTGTCTCCTCCTTCCTTCTGATCACACCCCTCTAAGCCCGCTCCGCCACTCCTCCTTCCTGTTACTGTACCTGAGTCTCGCCTTCCGACTTCACCGTGTTCCCTCCATCTCTGGCGCACGCTGGGTTTTTGTTGTGTTTTTAATTTGGTCTTTATAGTAAAAGTTTCTCAGCACCTTCTGCCTCTCTGCCCCTCTCTCTCTCTCTCTCTCTCTCTCTCTCTCTCTCTCTCTCTCT